TCTTTCCCCCCCCCCTTCATCCTCCCTCCCTCCATCTCTGTCTGTCTTTCTGTCTCTCTCTCCCCCCTCCCTTCTACCTTCCTTCCATCCTTCTTTCCTACCTTCCTTCCTTTCTTTCTCTCTCTCTTTCTCTTTTTCCCCCGTGAACCGAGGCCCGCGCGGCTTACATCCGCCGGGCCTCGGCAGTCTCTCTTCCCCTCCCCGACTTTCTTCCCCCTCCTCACCTGTCTCTCGCCGCCGCCGCCGCTGGGCCTCTCCGGCCGTTTGGTTGCTTTCCCGCGCACGGAAGCCAGGTAGGTCGCAGAGCGGTCCGTGCGTATGCACACGGAACGCTCTGGCACTTTTGGGGGGATTTAAACATCCCCCCGAAAGTTTTTTCAACATTTAGCATTTTTGTGCACACGTGGGGACCGCCCCACATGTGCACAAACTTCTCCCTCCCCCCCCAAGTGCCCCCGATGTCCGGATCTAAGGATCCGCACAGAGGGGGCCAGTTCAGTATTAGATATATAGATAAACACAGAAACAAATATTTCCCATAGGTCTTTTTGCAGTGTGCTCTATTCTGTACTGACTATGACATACACAGCCATGATGTGATCCCACCCTTCAAGGTCATTCATGTGATTGCTGCTGCCATGTTGATAAGGCTCACTGTGTGGGTCTTTCCCATGAAATTGTCACCTGGAGGGAGGATGCTAACTCTGTGGGAAAGACCCTGGCAATTGGCAGCACTTGCACAATTACATGAATTCACACACATCCCTCTCCTGCGTGGGATCTCAGCACTCTGAAGCAGCATATATGAAGAGTGCCTAAGCTAGGTTTGGTGAATGCAGAATCCATAGAGAGTGGATATTAAGTTAGTGGAGGACTCAGAAGAACGATTGGTGGGTGTTTGACAATAGGTCTGCTTACCTCTCTCCTTGCCTAGCTGAGTCTGTGCAAGCTCACTCTGCCCTCTTCTTGGATGATCTGGACCTCGTGACACCGCCTACTCCAACAGGGGCTTTTGGAGGCTTCTGGAAAGGAAATGAGACGTCCACCAGCGAGGTCCCTGTAGGTAACACCAGTGAAGTTGTCAAGAGTGAGTGCCTTATTGCCTGTTCCGTCACTTTGCCCTTTTTTGTACAGCCCTGTTTTAGGTCTGGCCCCCATATTTGTCCCATTCTGCAAGTTATTCTATCATATGAGACCATTTATGCTCTCTCAGCTTGGGAAGGGCAGGGGGGGTGGTCAGGAGTAGTCACTTAATGGTTTTCTAATCATTATTTTCTTTTTAAAAGAATGTTGGTTACGATTCATAGCAGTAGATTACAGCAGTGTGTTTTATGTGTTCATGGGGCTGAAGAACTAGTAACCTGTTGCCCCTCCCTTATATCATAAACACAGGCATCTAAAGTGGTGCATCTGTATTCAGCACTGCAAGAAGTGTTCAGCAGTCCTTCCCGCATGCATCAACAGCCGATTTGGATGGAAATCTAGACAATGATTCTTGTGTGCATGAAGTCAAAGGAGTTCATTTTGCCAGGGTTGAATGCTTGTTGTGCTGCCAAGAAAATGTGTGTTCTTTGACTTGCACACCCAAATTCCATAGCTTGGGCACATTGTGCCCCTTTGTGTTGCTCTCAGGATGCTTTCTGGATTGGAGAGCTTTCCCGTTCAAGTGGTTGCACCAGGCCCTTGGCTCTCATTTCCTATCAGCCATACTAATTATCCCAACTGCTGTACTGTAACGAGTAACCTCATGCTTCAGTCTCATTGAAGTAAATGAAATTTAAAGAGCCGAATGATGTGCTGGATAGTCGCCAAAGACTGGATACTTGAGCAGTCTGTTCAGATTGCCTTGTTGTGGTTTGAAGGGAAAAACCCACAAGCAACCCTGTGATATGACCAACATTTATAATATTAACATAGCTTTTCTAAAACTTTACAAAAATACAACAATTTATCCATTATTCTCACTTATACAATGTTGCAAAAAATAGTACACATAGTCCATCATAATGAGTACCCGGTTGTGAACTCATTTCAACGTTAAAGTCTTCCTCAGACATAATCCAATATTTAAAGGAGGTGTCAGCTTCTTAAATCCAGCTCAGCATTGTAAATTCTTAATTTCCTTCATAATGTCTTCTGGTTCCATAATAAATGTTTATTTCTGCAGCAAGCCCATCCTTTGTATGTGCAAAAAAGCCTCCTGAAGTTTACTGGCCATGCTCTCCGCAAACACTAACTTATTTAGGTAGTAGCAATCTAGTCCTTATTATATTTTATCTGGCTAAAGCCTTCATTATTCTGGTTGGTAAATGCTCTATATTTTTTCACCCGGCTAAAGCCTTCATTTTCTATCTGGCAAGCAGGGCTGGGCACAAAAGGAGGAGGTTTGGGGGCCGGAACTGTTAAACTCCCCTGTTTGGGCTGTGTATGCCACTGGGCCTTTGTTAAGAAGATGGGCAGGGTGGTGCTGGGGAATGAAATGGGACATGTGTGTAGTACTAGAGTTGAATGTGCTAGCCACAGTTTGGTGTAGTGGTTAAGTGCGCGGACTCTAATCTGGGAGAACCGGGTTTGATTCCCCACTCCTCCACTTGTACCTGGCTGGATGGCCTTGGGCAAGCCGTAGTTCTGATAAGAGCTGTTCTTGAAAAAGAGCAGTTTTCTGTCAGAGCTCTCTCAGCCCCACCCACCTCACAGGGTGTCTTGTCTGTTGTGGGGAGGGGGAGGGAAAAGGAGTTTGTAAGCCGCTCTGAGACTCCTTTGGGTAGTGAAGGGCGGGGTATAAATCCAATCTCTTCTTCTTCTTCTACTGGAGCATCCTAGGTACACTTAATGAACCCTTTTCCCTTCCTCTCTAGTTCTGGAGCGTTGGTGGGGTGCTAAGCGCATTGATTACTCCCTCTATTGCCCGGAGGCACTGACGGCCTTTCCCACCATTACCCTACCCCACCTCTTCCACGCCAGCTACTGGGAAAGCGCTGATGTAGCTGCCTTCATCCTGCGCCAGGTACTAGGGCTGTTACCTGCAAGATGTAGGAGGGAAGTGCCATTGCCCCAGGGGATGGGCGCATGCTGATAAGGAACCAGCCGTTGAACAAGAGGTTTGGGGAGGCGGCTCTAGCTCAGGCAGGTGACATGGGAGTTGCATGCAAGAAAAGCTGGGGAGGATGACATTTGAACAGATGGCTTTGGCAGTAGGTGAGTGCAACTGTGTGAGAAGGTTGGGGAGTGGTTTAGATTTTCAGGATTTTGATTCCCTCTGTGGTCAGCCAGAGACCAGCCCTGAGTCTTTGAGACACTCCTAATGGCACAGAGCAGACACTTTTTTTGTTACAGAAGAATCTGTAATTCTGTGTACCAGGAACAACTGCCTTGTGCAGTTTTGATGGAAATATAAACAAGATGGGGGGGGGAAGCCCTCTTTTTAATCTCTGGGGTGGTCTGCATAAATGGCTATACTTGAAAATGTGGGACTTGTTGCCTGCAAAGGAGCCTGGCAACTGAGATGTTGTGGCTGCAGGTGATTGAGACAGAGCAGCCCCAAGTGACAGAGAATGAGGAGAGTTCCATCTACAGCCCAGCATTCCCCCGTGAAAAATGGCAGCGCAAGCGCACACAAGTGAAGATCCGGGTAAGCAGCTCAGTCACCATAGTGGCTTCCTTGTCTGTATCTTGCATGTGGGAACCTTACTTGGACCCAGGAATTATGTCTTAGGGCAGTGGGTACGGGCTGATCCTATTCCTTTGCACTCAAAAAACTAAAGGACAGGCTCACAGATACTGACTTCCCACCATGTCTCCTTTCCTCTCTTGCCCTTTATCTCTTCTGTCTGTGGCCAGATATTCTGGATTGGACCACACAGCACATTTCCACTGATGGAAGGGTGTGTATGGGCGTGTGTGTACTGATCCCCACCCCCCCCACCCCGGCATATCCCTGTCTATCTTTGAGGGGTTCCTTGTCTCCCAGGAGTAGCATTTCAGGAACCTTCTTGGGCTTTGCATGTGGGAGGGGGAGTCACACTTCATCGAGATAAATCAATAGTAATTTCCAGTGGGATCAACCCCTCTGAGTTCTGCAAGAATTAACTCTTGCCATTTTAATTCATGGACCACCCTGAACATTTTCTTCTGGAGAACTGCATTGTTTGCAATGGAGAAAAGGGGTTGTGTTTTCTTGGTTGAGAATTTAGTACTGGGGGGGGGGTTTTACTTCATTAGCTCATGCTAATAAAGTGCATTCTTGGTTTGCCCTGCTACTAGACAGTTTCCTTCTCTATGCTCGTGTGTGTGCGCACATTTAAGGGTCCAGGTGGTGCGTTTGACGGCTGGGATGGAACAAGGTGGCTGTGAGGACTTGTTCCGAGAGCAGCATGGCAGCCCCTCCAAGGGGCTGTGTAAAACGAAGGGGGCTCAGTGTTGGTTTGTGAGGTGCTTTCAAAATGTCGGAGCTTCTTGAACGAAGCCGCCTCCAGACGTCCTGCTGTGGTTGTGATCATGCTGAAGAGGTGACGTTTGGCCCAGAGAACAAGGATGTCTGGTGGAAGGTCAGAACTTTCTTTCCTCGTTCAGGAAGATGATTGCTGCTTCCTCCTGTAGAATAAAGTAAGGGGGTGTTTTGTGTGTGTGTGTGTTTTAAACATACTAATTTTTACACGGACGTTTCAACAAGAGGTAAGACATCTGTGTAATTTTTCTGTGGTTGCTGATTCTAGAAAAAACACCCCCACATATCCAAATATAGACACAGCTAAGAAAAAGGGTTTTGTTAGTCTCTAATGGAAGAAGTGTTGCTGCTATGTATGTAGGAATGTTTTTCTGTGAACAGGTAGCCACAGACTGATTACAATGACTCACGTCATGTAAATGCTCTCTGAAAGTTTCCCCACCTTAAATAGGAGGTGGAATAGTTGTATTCTCTTGTGAGCTGTGCTGCTATAGTTCTGGGTTGAGATCCAGTTCCTGTGTTTTATTTTGACCTCTTATAAAGCAAGGATAGTAACAACCGCTGACCCCTTCCTTTCCAGAATGTCACCGCGAACCACCGGGCCAGTGATGTCATTGTGTGTGAAGGGCGTCCCCAGGTCCTCAGTGGGCGCTTCATGTACGGGCCACTGGACGTGGTGGCTCTAACCGGGGAGAAGGTAACCATGGAAGTGTGAGGCGGGGTGGCTGAACATGGGGCAGTGGGTGACACGTCTGTGGGGATGGTATGGGCTGGAGCAAGCGGCATTGCTTGCCATGAATTCTCATCAGTCCAGAGAGACATCTAAGCACGGTATACAAGCCCCATCTGAAAACGACAGTAGCCCAAAGAGCTGATCCGGGCAATAGGGCTGTGGACCTCCTGAGTGCACTTTCTGCTGCACAAAAGGATTACCGCCAGGGCCAGAAAGGGGAAGAGCTTTGTGGGGCTAAGGGGGAGGATACAAGTGAGCAGGCTGAAGGCGGGAGGAAGTGCCATCAAGGGGGGCACACGCCAGATGAGGCTGCAGGCAACAGAACTGATTTTGGATGAGTCATGAGTCATCGCTTTAGAGTGGGAAAGTAGCCCTAGAGGCCATCTAGTCCAACCCCCTGCTCAGTGCAGGAGATCCAGAGTTCGAGCACTCCCAACTGAAGGCTGTCCAGCCTCTGCTTGAGAGCTCCAGTGAGGGAGAACCCCTTCGCATAGTTGTTCAGTTCGAATGTTGAGCTGTTCTTAAAAAGGAAGTGTCTCCTAATAGTCAACTGATATCTACCCACCTGTAGCTTAAGTCCATTAGAGTTAGCAGGGGTGGGAAATGGTCAGAAAAATCAGTAAAAGTCAGTTTTTTCATCTTGGTCAGTAATTCGTCAGTTTTTTTAAAAGTTGGTCAGTAAGGTCAGTATTTCTTTGATTTCTGTGAATGCAGTTTGTGTTTTTCCATTTTCATTACTGCATTTTTGGGGAAACACGATGACTTCCCAGTGAGAAGACAGATTGTTTTCAGTTTAGTTATGAAGTACTTTAAGGACTTTGTTCCTAAGAGTAAAAGTGATTTGGCGAAGTCTTCCACAAAGTATAGAAACATAATTAACCTCTTAAAACATGAGACAATGAAAGTAGAGGTGATGGATATTGTGGGATTCAACATGGCACAGCTCATGCTAGAAGGAGTTGAGAAAGCAATGGAAGAAGAGGACAAGGGGGAAAAATGCTTGTGGATGCAGTGCAGAAAACTGTTGAGAAACAATAGCGTTTGTGAATAACTTTTTTTATTCATTCAATTTAAACCCTGCCCTCCCCGCCGGAGCGGGCTCAGGGCGGCTTACAAAAGAGATTAAACATATAGGTAAGAAATTATATACAATTTAAAACAAATAATAAAACTCTGCATTATCATAAAGTGCTAGTAAGTGATCAGGTACTTATAGCAATGCTTACAGAAGGCGGAACCAAATACTAGTGTTGTAATCAGATGATCTATATTGGTGGTTGGCTCATCTTGGTCTCTATATTTAGGCAACAGCACAGGCTGTTGGTGGTAAGCCAAGGACCACTGTCACTTCTCAGTTATTTGATGTTATTTGGTGCAACTCCTTAGTTGAAGGCCTGGTGAGAGAGCTCCATCTTGCAGGCCCTGCAGAACTGTAAAAGGTCCCAAGGGCCCTGATCTCTTCTGGGAGCTCATTCCACCAGTATGAAGCCACCACTGAGAAGGATCTAGCCCTGGTTGTGGCCAGCCTGGCATCTTTAGGATCTGGGAGGCCAATCGATTTTGTGACCCTGAGCACAGTGCTCTCTGGGGAATGTGCAGGGAAAGGCGTTCCCATCAGGTATGTGGGCCCCTGACCATAAAGGGCTTTAAAGGTCCTTGAAGTGAATTTGGTATGGTGTCGGCAGCCAGTGCAGTGCTTTCAGCACAGGCTGGATGTTCACCTGCATAGGGAGGCCCATCAGGAGCCTGGCTGCAGCATTTTGCACTAGCTGTAGCTTCTGGAATTGGGTCAAGGGCAGCCCCATGTAGAGAGCATTACAGTAGTCCAATCTCAAGGTGACCATCGCCAATGGATCGCTGTCGCCAGGTCATTTCATTCAAGAAAGGGAACCAATTGCCTAATCAGCCGGAGGTGATAAAAGGCTGATTTGGCAGTGGCTGCTACCTGGGCCTCCATTGTTAGTGAGGCATCCAGGAGCACCCCCAAGCTCCTAACCTCTGGCGCTGGCACCAATGGCACCCCATCAAAGGTCGGAAGTAGGATCCCTACCCTCGGGCTGCCTTGGCTCAGTCTTTGTCGGATTCAATTTCATTTGGCTCAGTCTAAGCCAACCAGCCACAGCTTGCAATGCCTGGTCCAGATCTTCCGGTGTAGAGTCAGACTGGCCGCCCAACAACAGATAGAGCTGGGTGTCATCCGCATACTGGTGACATCCCAGCCCATGCCTCAAGGCCATCTGGGCAAGGGGGCACATGTAGATGTTAAATAACATTGGGGATAGCACCGCCCCTTGGGGCAGTCCACAAATCAGTGGGTGCCTTTGGGATAGTTGCTTCCCTAGCACCACCCTTTGTCCCCGACCCCTGAAGGAAGGAAGCCAGCCATTGCAAGGCAGGCCCCTGGACTCCAGTGTCGGCGAGGTGGTGGATCAGTAACTGATGGTTGACCATGTTGAACACTGCTGACAGGTGCAACAGCACTGCCAATCCGCCCCGATCCAGATGCCTCTGGAGGTCATCCGTGAGGGTGACCAGTGCTGTCTCTGTCCCGTGGCCTGGGCAGAAACCAGACCGGAAAGGATCTAGAATGGAAGTGTCATCCAAAAAGCTCTGTAGCTGAATTGCCATGGCCCTCTCAATTATTTTGCCCAAATAGGGCAGATTGGAGACTAGCTGGTAATTAGCCAATTTGGCCAGATCTAGAGATGGCTTTTTCGGGAGGGGATGAAGCACAGCTTCCTTGAGTGCCTTAGGGAACTGTCCCTCCAAGAGGGACTTGTTGATAATCTCCCTTAGGGCATCTCGAAACCCATCACGGTCAGTTTTAATTAGCCATGATGGGCACGTGGTAGGGCGTACAGTTGAGAGCAGTTTGTCAACTTCCTCCAGGCCGAGTGGGCTGAAATAATCCATAGCCTGACTAGAAGACGTGAATGGAGCCTCGAGTTCACTTACTGTCTCAACTCTGATGGGGAGGTCACAGCAGAGCGACAGGACTTTATCTGCAAAGGCCTCACAGCCAGTGTCCAGTTCCCTAACATTTAGTCTGCCTTGTGGCAAGAACATTCACAGACCAAATTATTCTAAATAATTGGACTGGGCATGAGCTCACAGACGCAATCGTGGCTGCATAATACTCTCAGTGGCTTTGACTGCCATCTCATAGGATCTTATCAATGTCCTATAAGATGTTCTTGTGGCTCTGTCGCAGCCACACTGCTACTGTCTCTCTAGCCATCTTAGCCTTCGCTTCATCAGCCGCAACTCCTGGGTAAACCAAGGAGCCAGCCTAGAGTGAGGGCACAGAGGGCGTCGGGGAGTGATCTCATCGATGGCTGCTGAGAGCTGTGCCAGTCCTCCACAAGCTCATCTAACGAGCCGCCAGGGGGCAGGGCCATTTGAGGGCACATAGGGTCCATTTGGCTCTGCGGGCAAGCTGAAATCTGCATGCCGCCCAGACAGGGTCGGGGTGAGACATTCAGATGGGCCTTCAGGGCATGATGGTCCGACCGTGCCACTGCTGAGGCAGTGACCCAGTCCACTGTGACCCCTGCCGCGAAGATCAGATCGAGTGGGTGTCTGGCCCGGTGAGTGGGAGTCGTTACATATTGGGAGAGTCCCAGTGCCACCACGGATGGCACTAGGTCCATCGCCTGAGTGGAGGCCACATCGTCCGCATGGACACTGAAATCGCGCAAGGCAATCAGTCTAGGGTGTTCTAACGCCCAGCCCGACACGGCCTCCACCAGAGATGGCAGGCTGCTGGCTGGTTCTTTTTTCATCAGAAAACCAAAGATAAAGTAAAAGCAAACACAAGTCTTACCTTACAGTAATTTCTTTTCAAAAACAATTTATTAGGATATATCATTAAGCCAAATACACATCATATTATTAAGTGTTATACATCCTTTCTTATCTATTATCCCACCCCCTCTGGCTTCCTACAATGCTCCAACTTCCAGCCCATTCTTAAATTTTGTCCATTTCAACCATAAATAGTAATTTCTTTATCCACTCCCCGATTTCCGGAATTCTGTCTTGCTTCCGGTATTGTGCATAAGTCATTCTAGCCGTTGTGATCCTATACCACATCAAAGTCCTTTTCTTCCATTTTAAGCCCCAACAATAGTATTTAAGGTTCTTTCTTAAAATTACATTTCACATTTTTTTCCATTTCTTTATGTACGTCAGTCCAATAGCTTTTTGCTTTATCACATGTCCACCACATATGATAGAAGGAGCCCTCTATTTTTTTGCATTTCCAACATTTGTTTGACATATTACTATTTATATTTGCAATCTTTTTTGGTGTCATATACCATCTGTACATCATCTTATTAACAATTTTCTTTTAAATTATTACACGTTGATAGCATTTTTCCATAAAAATTCCCAAGTTGCCATATCTATTTCTTTGTTCATATTAACTGCCCATTTTATCATCTGTTCTTTAACTGTTTCGTCTTCCGTATACCATTGTAACAATATCTTACACATTTTAGATATCAATTTTTAACCTCCTTCAAACCATACATTTTCAATTTCATTATATTTTTTCCTAAACCCAAAAGCTCTTTTATCTGTTTTAAACAAATCATAAATCTGTATATACTGCAACCAATCATAATTAAAGTCCATATCTTCTACTTCTTTCATTTCAAACGTCTTACCCACAGGTTTCAACATTTTTCTATATTGCAACCAGTCCTCTCCTCTGTGTATCGAATATTACCTTACAGTAATTATGTTTTGTTGTCATAATTATTACTTTATGTTTGGTTTTTAATATGTTTTTGCTGTTTTGCTTGTTTTATTATCTGTAGTATGTGATTATTTTAAAAAGGAAATCCTTTTTTGCCTTAAATTTTGTACAATAATGAAAACATTGTCCTCAGTTCATTAAAAAATTCAATAAAAAGGTGTGCAATCCTTTTATCTGCAACCTGGGCCTGGGCTTTTTCGGTGGCAGCCCCTACCTGGTAGAACGAGCTCCCGGAGGAGATCAGGGCCCTGCAGGACCTTATGCAGTTCCGCAGGGCCTGCAAGACGGAGCTCTTCCGCCAGGCTTTCGAGTAGGGGCCGCCACCGCCATTGTACCGCCACCGTATTAACATCATGAGGCGCACTGGCCCTGGCATGGGGAGGACAATTATAGCGTAACATCAATTGAGCAGAGACAATTGTGTTTACTCGGAGTGGGTTATTGTTATTGGCATTTTATTATGGAATTTATATGGTCTGTTGAGCACCGACTTTTAACTATTTTATAGGTAATGATTGTTTATTGTTTTATTGTTTTATGTATGGCATTTACCTCTGTGTTCAACGCCCTGAGCCCATGTTGGAAGGGCGGGATACAAATTTAATAAATAATAAATAATAATAAATAATAAATATCTGGGTCACATCTAACCATGGGGCTGGCTATAGGGATGGTGGAGGCCAGATAATAATAATTTTTAATGAAGTCCTAGTTTTACATTTAAAATGCTAGCTTATCAGTAGGCTGACATTAAATTGTTTAGTAATTTGTCTGGTTTTTGTCAGTATTTGGTCAGGTTTTTTTTTATTTTGGTCAGTAAAATCAGTATTTTTGACACTGTGACTAGTTTGCACCCCTTGCCCTCTGTGGAGTACCAGAGAAGAAGTCTCTGCCCTCTTCCATATGATAGCTTTTTATGTACTTGAAGGACATGATAATGTCTCCCATCAGTCTTCTCTTCTCCAAGCAAAACATACTCAGTATGGGCTTTGTTCTTTTATCTGGGTGACCCAAACAGTTAGCAAATGTTAGAAGGGCCTGTTGTAGAACTTGCCTCACTCCCCAGTGCCTTTCCATCTGCTAGCTTCCCATTTCCCTCTGTGTATTTCAGAACTGCCCTGAGGGTCACCAGGAGGACAACAGAGCAGATCAGAGGCAGAAACTAGAGCAGTCCTTGGAAGCGAGACTTGGGAAGGAGAATAGAAATAGGTCACAGGGGAAGGGAAGAATAAATGAGCTGTGAGTTCACAATGGAATATGGAGCAGACACTAATGGTAGGAGGTGTCACAAATGGGCGCTGAAGCGGCAAGGAGTGCTGATTGAGGAGGGGTGAAAAAGAGGCAGCACAAAGGGAACATGAAATGCTGTAGTGAGTTATGTAGGAAGACTTGAACCACAGGTTCAGAATTAAATGAGCAATCATGCATTTTCCCCTGTAGTCCTAACACTGGATTGGGACCCTGAGCAATTTTGCTGGGGGACGAGGCATGCAACACCCTTCTTCCCAGCAAAAGACACATGCAACAGAGTAAGAGTTCTGCTCTCTTTGATCTCCTCTCACAGGTAGATGTCTACATCATGGCACAGCCACTGTCGGGAAAATGGGTGCACTATGGCATGGAAGTGACAAGTGGCAGCGGGAGACTCTCTTACACTCTCCCGGAGGAGAAGATGCTGGGCATTGGCATGTACCCTGTCCGTGTGGTAGTTAGGTGAGCGTGCAAACCCTCTCCTGCAGGTGCCATTTCAGCAGCTTCATCTGGGCATCAGATGCTCTTTTCTGGTTTACGTGTGCAGCAGAATTAGGTTGGAAATGAAGCAGCCTAGTGTTGTAGGGATAGAATGGACAATACCATTTCAGACTGGGAGTTTAGGATTACATTTCTCTGTCCCTCTGCGTTGATTTCCTGTAGCTGCAAAACCAGTACAGCATCTACAAAGCTGAGTTAGTCGCCTTTCTCTCCCTATTTGCAGTGAGTTTTATATGGGACAGCTGTGACAGTATCAGCACCACCACATTCACACGCAGTCTAATGTGTTCCAGCCCCTACTTCCTCCTCAGAATTCTCTAATCTCATTTTGTTGCAAGTGTGCATCAGACCTTATCGATCTAGAGATTGTGGCACTCCTGTTGTGCGTGGACAAGGCAGTTCTGTTATTTTCAGCCAATTCAATTATTGTTTATTGACAGGAGACGTAGTACAAATGCTACCTTTATATGCCCTCTCTAAGGATGGCCTTTGTGGTATGTCTTCTGCTAATAAAACAGGAACTGAATAGACTGACATACTCCTTCCCTTGATTTTCTAAAGCTGCACAGGGGATGCCATACTGGTGGGCTGGCATGGACGGACACTTTGAAGAGCTAATTACATTTTATTTTTCCCCCAGAGGTGACCATACCTATGCTGAATGCTTTCTGACCGTGGTAGCCAAATCCACACCTTCTGTTGTCTTCAGTATTGATGGCTCCTTCACAGCCAGTGTCTCCATTATGGGCAGTGATCCTAAGGTGCGCGCTGGCGCTGTTGATGTTGTGAGGTAAGTCAGGCCCTCTCAGGGGATTCCCATGCATCTTCCTGGTGTCATCCACTTTGATTTCTAAGAGTACTGGGAGTACTGGGAGATAGGTAATAAGTCCTTTGCTTCTCAGTGGACTCCATCATTTTGCTAAACTTCCTTTCCGCCAGTTCATCAAGGCTTTTAAGGGACATGATGTGACATAGGCCTCCAACTTAGTTGGAGGAATGAAGGACAATTTTCTTGAGATGTATGTCTCACAACGCTCTTGTTCACTTTTAGCCAAATTGTCTTATTTCTTTAGTAAGATGGGAGAATAGGAATATTAAATGGCAATGGCTTTAATTAAGGGGACAATAACCTGTGTATACTGGAGTCCAACTTATCCAGATTCTCAGATATAGACGCAGAGGCTAGGTCTCAAAATATAGTGATTTCTTTACTAAGAATTCTCACACACAAACCTACAATAAAAATAAAACAATCATACACTCAAGCTATACAGAACTAAGAAGCTAGATAGAAAAGTACAGCGACAGTTGCATTAGCAGGAAGGTATCGTTGATGGGGGCAATACTTTACCTGTCCGATGCGACGAGGCAATCCTGCAGCGAAAATAGGGAAAATACTAGGGGAGGGGCTGTGGCTTGGCCGACAATGCACATGGGAGACTCCAAACAGCGCTACGAATGGAGCTAGCAAGATAGGGTGAGGTCAGATAGGTAGGAAGTAAGAGAGAGAGAGCAATGGGGAGATGCTCTCTTTTTATACCCTAAGATGACTGGGAGGGGGGATGCTTCACCAGTCAATGTAGCCCCCAGGAAATCTAAAAAAATCCAGTTACTAAATGATCAGGAGGATGGGTTTAATGATTTGGCAATTGCAATAATATTCGACTAATGTTGACACCTTTAGAAAGAAAGGAAAGAAAAGAGTAGTAATGTCTCAGCTCCATGGACGGTCGTTAGTCTTAATGTCCCAACAATCAACAGCTGCGTTATCTGGATGTGACAGCTGCTTAATCCTCTCGTGGAGGAAGTCCTTTTGTTTTACAGTGAGGAATACGTGCAGCATCTGGCAAAGGTGGGGGGGGGGCAAGGTGCCTGCATGATGGAGAAGAAGCCTTTCTATGGCGTCTTTGCAGGAACACGCAGGCTTCATTTGCAGAGCATGGCTTCTTCTTAGTGAA